AAAAAAAAAAAAAAAAAGAAAAATCCAGGACATGTAGGCGTAAGCCTTTTCTCCTCTGTTCTTTCTGCAGTTGAATCTCTCTGTTTTAATAGGAATCAAGTGCCTTGCCCTACCATCTGGAGTCATAGCCCTGTTGTTTGTAATTAAGGAAAGGGTTAAGACTTGTAACCTGAAAAAAAAAAAACAGAACAAAAAAGAATTGGAAAATGGAGTTCCTGGCAGAGAAAATAGCAAACGGGGCTCATTGAATGCACGCCATTTTGCTATGCCTGCTCCTGTTGCCTCCTTCCCACTGCTGGAGGTGGGAGGTAGAGGATCTTTCTGCTGGAGGCAGGCAGAGGATATTTCTTTGGTTTTTAGAGACAGGGTTTCACCATGTCGGTCAAGCTGGTCTCGAACTCCTGATCTCAAGCCATCTACCAGCCTTGGCCTCCCAAAGTGTTGGGATTATAGATGTGAGCTACCGCACCCTGCTGGTAGAGGATCTCGGATGTAGCCGTCTCTTTGCCCTTAGCGTTTGCACTAGGTTTTCCGGGCAGAAATGATGACCCCTCTTGTTGCCTGTTGGAAGCCTGTTTGTTCCAACCCTGTGTTTTCTTTCCTTGCAGCTGGTCTTAGACTCCCAGAAGCGAGTCTTCTCCTGGGGCTTCGGTGGCTATGGCCGGCTGGGCCACGCAGAGCAGAAAGATGAGATGGTTCCCCGCCTGGTGAAGCTGTTTGACTTCCCTGGGCGTGGGGCATCCCAGATCTACGCTGGTTACACCTGCTCCTTTGCCGTCAGTGAAGTGGGTTAGTGATTTCTTCCCCCTGGCTTATCGGTGCTCTGGTGGGGAACTGTGTGGCCATTGTCCTGTCCCAAGGCCACGAACCCCAATTCCCTTTACTTACCTCTCAGTGTTCTTTATTTTTTTGAGACAAGAGCTCGCTGTGTTGTCCAGGCTGGTCTTGAACTCCTGGGCTCAAGCAATCCCACCATCTTAGCGTCCTGAGTAGCTAGGACTGCACAGGCACACTACCATGCCTGACTCCAGTTTTGTTTTGTTTTTTGTTTTGTTGGCTTTTTGTTTTTCTTGGAGATAGTTTCCGCTCTGTTGCCCAGGCTGGAGTGTAATGGCGCGATCTTGGCTCACCACAACCTCCGCCTCCTGGGTTCAAGCGATTCTCCTGTCTCAGACTCCTGAGTAGCTGGGATTACAGGCGTGCGCCACCACACCCAGCTAATTTTTATATTTTTAGTAGAGACAGGGTTTTACCATGCTGGCCAGGCTGGTCTTGAACTCCTGACCTCAGGTGATCTACCCACCTTGGCCTCCCAAAGCGCTGGGATTACAGGTGTGAGCCACTGCGCCCGGCTAGCCCAGCTAATTTTTATATTTTTAGTAGAGACAGGGTTTTACCATGCTGGCCAGGCTGGTCTTGAACTCCTGACCTCAGGTGATCCACCCACCTTGGCCTCCCAAAGCGCTGGGATTACAGGTGTGAGCCACCGTGCCCGGCCCAGTTATCTTTTAGACAGAACCCTTGTTTGCCATCCTGTCCTCTTTTCACCCTGATAATGCTGAAGACAAGACTCGGCTCTTGATATCTGGTCACGGTGGAAACACGTTTTGTCTTCCCTCAGGTGGTCTGTTTTTCTGGGGGGCCACCAACACCTCCCGTGAATCTACCATGTACCCGAAAGCAGTGCAGGACCTCTGCGGCTGGAGAATCCGGAGCCTGGCTTGTGGGTAGGTGGCAGCATAGCATCTCCTTTGGGTGTATGAGGTCTCTTCCTTTCTTGGGGGTGTCAGACACACCCACAGGGTGCCCCTCCCTGATGGGGCCCTGTTTCTGCTGCCTTTTGGGGTGTCCTCAGTAGGCCACCTGGCATGCTGAATCCCAGAGTCCAGGGGCACAGGTGGGGAGAGGCCTGTTTGCAGCTAGAACAGATGGCTGTTTCCTGTCTCCGTGGGAAGAAAGTCATTTTGAAGGTTTCTGTACAAAGATACACAAGCAGGGCGTGGTATAAGCCTGCGTTGCAGGTTGACAATTACACGTAGCTGGAAACGTAGTAGGACTTGAGTTGCTCTGACATTGGGAAGAAGACATTGTCCTGACAGCAGTGGTTCTTAGTGCATTTAAGGACACCTGTTGAGTTATCTAGCAATTCTTGGTGATTCATCAGCTGGCAGGTGTGGGTGGAACAGTAAGAGGGGGCTGGGCCCGTGGCTTTAATCTGTTGAATCCTCTAGCCCTGCCTAAATTACTATGCGTGAAGGCTGCTCCCTCTGGAACGGGCTTTTACTCCATCCTGATTCGCTCTCCTCATCCCCAAACCACCTTCTACTGAGAGAGCCCTAGGCCCTGGGCCGGGGTGCACTACAAGGTCCCCTGCCTTTGGCCCCTGGCCCTAAGGCCTTTGTCGTTAATGAAGTCGCCTGCGTGGGCCAGTCTTAGGGTTCAGGGGAAGCCTGTTGGCCCTGTTGTT